TTAGCTTTATTTGGGTTTTTTCCCAAAAATATTGCTTCTAATGTAAAATAAAAAAAATAAAGTACTGATGTACGCACTAGAGCTTGTCCAAGAGACAAAATACCTGCCAGTAATGTTGTGAGGGTCCATTGTAACGGAGAGTTGTAAGCACCCTTCAAAGCTGCAAATGGGTTACAATCCCTGTTACAATCCCAATGGCTCGCTTTTCTTCAGTCGGACAGACAAGGTACATTAACCATGAAGCAACCACTGTGCAGTTAAGGGGAAATGGTAGTCAGAGCCACTAAAGACTGGCCACATGAGAAAGACTAAGGCACTGGTAAGCAACCGCTGTGAAGAACTGCAGCACGGACATGTCTTAACCTGGCTTTTCCAAAAACCTACTTCGATACAAACAGAAATAACATATGTTATGTTAACGTATACCCATTTTGGCAGTTGCTTGGTGGCCTTTTCTTAGGCTCCTGGTCACTGTTGTGAATGTTGAAAACACATGAGCAGTAAAGATAGGAAAAAGGAACTAAATGAAGATGTGTGTCATGGGGAAGTGTTGAATTATCTGCTTCCCCATGAAACCTTGGATTTATTTTGGATATGAAATGTTAGTCATACAGCCTCTGGTTTAAGTGGATCTCTAAATTATCCAAATCAGTCCAGAGAAGGAATGGTATACTGTTGATGTTTCTGGATGTTCTCATAACATTCAAAAAACATAAAATCAATGTAAGCCTATCCTGCAGTTAATATGCAAATTGTCACCCGTAGGTGGTCCCCATCACATTGCCCCCCACTACACTCTATCCGGAGCAGGGCAGGTTAACATTACGCCTTGCCTTTATTGCCCCACCTTCTGCAATCAACAGAACTAATGGCAGATGATGCTTTGGCAGTATAACCTACCATCTACCTGTCCTTGAATTAGGAGCACTTAAGTGTATTGCCGCTTAAAGTGCATGAGACATCATTTCTCTCTTTTTCCGCAGTTCAAGCCTCATGTGACAGAAAGGCTTTTTAGCTGATCACTTGGTGTTCAAGGACACCGGGACAGAGACTTGTTTCATCATGCAATCGCTCACTGAGCCGCCTCCTGCTCTTGGTTTCCCTGAGCTTTTTTGTTTTGTGTGGTTGCATTTGGATATGTCCCTGTACTGTATGAAAGCACTCGTTTAAATAGTTAAATGATGGCTGTATGTCATTTAGAGGCTTCAGTTCGTGGGGGATGTTCATGCCGGATCATTGTGACACTGGGAGGGTTTGCTAGGAAAAGGGTTTGCTTTTCCTACGATGACGAGGCAAAATTATTTCTGGGGAAAGGATATAAGGTAAACTAAAATAACATGAGTTGAATCTCTGATTCTGCCGAGACTTAGGTTTAGATTTTTCTGTTACATCATAAATATCTGTTTGTAACTGTACTCTGTTTTGATGGATATGTGTATCCTAGAGGGAGACATGTATGTTTTATATGGTTAGGGTTAGGGTTAGGGTTAGGGTTAGCAACAGTCATACAGCAACAGGAGACACAACCCAGAAAGCCAATTTAAATTGATTTTCTACAAAGCCACAGGTCTGAGTGGTTTGAACAAGCTACCAAATAAGCATCCACTGGATAATAGTGCTCTACTAATGTCTGCAGAAAAGTGACTGGGTCATCCGGGTATCATAAGAGTAATGGCGCAGAGCAGCATTCCCGGTTTATCCCATCTTCAACAAAGCACAGATTACTATCAAACAAATAATCCCCTCCAGATATACTGTCTCTTTCACTCTCACTGTTTTAGTTTTGTTACTTCTATGGCCAGTGCACAAGCAATGACTCCCTTGTTGCTTATGTTTTGGAATAGTGTTTGTTTTCCATTTTCAGAGCTTTGTAAAAAAACAGATTAATTTTGAGGAGATATGGTCGTTTTAACGTTAGTCGTTTCCAAAAATCTTATATTTTGTATCCATATAATATATCACATTGAAAATAACATAACATAGGCATAATGATGTTTATTGAAATGACATGTCTTTACAATATCGCTCACATTTAAATGACTATGCTCTTAGTTTTTTATTACAGTACTTCTGAAATTATTAATTTGGAAGAAAAAATATATATCTTTACAATTCCATCTATCTCCCGGCCACATTACAGACCATGTCAGTAACAACATGAACTAAATCCAAGAGATCATTTCACTTGTCGTTAGTTTAATGTATCTCCTGATAAGGTTGTTAATCAAAGCTCCATGTGTGGTGCAGTAGGAGAATAAAATGTGAGGAGGAGAGAGTTGGGCCTACGACCATGGCATTGGTCTGAACTGCTGACTCAGCGGGAAAAACTCCCACTGATCTCCTTGTACCTCCCAACAGCTAATTTAAGCACCGCTCACTCCCTCCTCGCCCACCTGCATGCTGGGAAATAGATTTTGGATTGCCTGAGGTTTGCTTGTGTGAGGACATGCATATACTAGTATGTCGTACTCTGTAATACATTCTAAACAGACTAATCGCTGAATAGCAGGTATTGGCCATGTTACAAAATCAATAGCAAATGAACAGTGTAATGTGAATAAATCTGTTGTGTTGGTTCTAAATGCTGATGCAGTGTGTGTGGGTGACAGCTTGGTTTGAATATAGAGAACGGTGTGAAGAATCTCCTTGTCTTGATGATCTGCTTCTTAAGAAATTCCATTCTTTCTTTTTGTTGAAACACTGTGTTGGGCGAGAGAAAAGAAGCAAAATCAATATTGCTCTGTCATGGCTCTCTGACTCAGAAACCGAGAATTAAACTGCTTTGAGAAAACTGATGGTTGAAGGTTCATGGTCAGTTGCTCCTCAGTTTTTCTCATTGTGGATGTTTGGTCCAAGGAACAAAAGTATGCCTGGAAAGCCTAATGGGTTAACCCTTTTGAGGTCAAAAAGCATTCCTTACAACTGCATGAACACGTTTCCCTATTAGTTTTTGCCACACTGTAACATAAGACGATAAGAGTGACATTTATAAAGAAAGGAAAGGAAATCAATGTAATGGTTACCTCAGGTTTAAAGGGGCCCAATTATGCTCTTTGGGGTTTCCCCTTTCCTGTAGTGTGTTATAAAGGTTCTTTGTTCAGGTAAATGGTCTGCAAAGGCTAACAGTTTCGCCCCCGACCCCTCCTCGATTGAACTCCTTTGTTTACTTCCGTAACATAGCGACATCACTATGTACCCACGCTTCTATTGGCTCGCGCTCCAACACATTGTTCGTGATAGGCTAAGGGGCAGGTCATCTCCAAGCGGGTGGACCAATCACGACCAGCTAACCAATGGGAGCAGACTGTGCTCTGGTTTCAGATTCAACAATTGATTGAATTGTTATTACCTATAATGAATCTTAACTTGAACCTTTAAACAAGTATGGAGTAGAATGTAAACAGAACAAATGTGCTTTTGAACTTTTCTTCCCACCTCAGCTGAATCAAGCCAACAGACTTTTTTTTGATGAACCCAAACCAAAGTAGAATCCCCTGTGAAGTGCGTCCCAGTAAAGGCAGCACTGTTTTGTCTTTGAGCAGTAATTGTCCCGCTCAGTCATCACCTTGATGGCAGATCGTTGTTTTGCAGCTCATCTAAAGGGACTGCCTGTTCTCTGCTGCCTGCTCCAATATGCTCTCATTAATCTTCCTTACAGCCTTCATTAAAGCCGCCAGTGCTACACCCATGCTCGCTCTGCAGGCTTCTATCTCCTGCTTAATGCCTATCTCCTTGACCTTTATCTCTGCCCAGCTTGCCTTCCTTAATCTCTCGCCCTAAAGCCCACGTCTTACCTCTTTCCCGCTTCTCTTTATTTCATTTTGCCTCCATTTCTTGTCCTCTTTATACACTTTGTCTAGCAGCTCCAAAACTGTACATTTGTTGTACTTATTGCAAAAACTCCTTGCAGCAGTCTGCCATTTCTCAAGTGGCAGTTCGTTCTTGGTTTGTAGTCGACTCAGACTAAAACACTTTTTTTTTAGAGGATTATGTGTTTTTTCGCTGGCTCTGTGTTGATGTTGAAGTTTCTGCCACTGATCCTCTCAACCTCTATTTCTGTCTGCACACACTCCAAACTTTAGAGAGGCTAAACTCAGCTGGTTAGCTGGAGATCATGACTCAATTGTCCCTTTATCTCAAGATAGAATCATTGGCAACAAGAACTGTTTTTTCGTGAGCTTGTTATTCTTAAATATATTCTTTTACTTTCTGCAACTGACTTTTTTAGACTTATTATGACCTAAGAAAAAGTAGCATTTATGTTCTCTTCTATTTTCCCTCTAAGGCATTGCAAAAAAAAAATCTGAATAGACTATGAAGTTGCTCACATTTAGTTTTAAGCCAAAAGTGGAGGAAGACAAATGGTATGGGGTATATGCTAGGGCTGCTCAATTAATCGTATTTTAATCGCATTTACGAGGATAAAAAAATATATATATTCTTTATTTTATTTTTATTTTGTATTGGTTTTTCAGTTGAATTATACGTAGAGTTCAGGGTAATCAACTGTTAAATACATACTGTTCACATTTATTTATTTTTTCAATAAATGGATGTTTTCAAAGTAAATGGATAATCGTTTTTAATAATCGCGATATCAATTATTGACCCAAATAATCGAGATTATGATTTTTGCCATAATCGAACAGCAATATGCTGTGTTCGAAAGGATGTAAACGTTTTCAGAAAAAGTTAATTCAAATCCCCAAAGCAGACCGGCCAAGATGACAATAATGTGTTTGCCAAAAGAAGTAAATTAAAAATGTTTTCTAATAAAATTACTCCAGGAATGTTTGCCACATATTAAAGATATGCAAAATTAAACTCAACTCAAATCAGACAAACCCCCCCAGGACACGATGCATAACTTCCAATCATAAACACAAGAGAGTAGATAATGAAGAAACTCTCTATTAAATGTAAGTTACCTAAATAAAAGAGGTACTAAAGTTTCTGTAGAGAATGTAAAAAATAAGTCAAGTTGTGTCTGCTGTTTTCAGGTCAGCAGGTTCTGGGTCTGGTGGAGAACCAGAGTGACTGGTACCTGGGGAACCTCTGGAAGAACCACCGGCCGTGGCCAGCTCTGGGCCGGGGCTTCAACACTGGTGAGTCCAGAGGACGTTATGTTCTCATGGTGGCATGGTCGGGCTGTATGAAACGGTTTCCCTGTCCTTACTAATAAGCGCAATTAATGCTAAGCTCTTGATTTTTGAGTATGCTTGAAATATGAAAAAATATCCAGAAAATTAAGCAGCGCCAGGAAGATCTCAAACCATTGGCAATCACTTTTCTAAAGACATTATTTTTGCACTTCACTCTGAAACAGGAACAGATTTATATTTAAATCTGCACACATTTTGATGCTAAGCTTTGTGTCTTCCTGACTTCCAATTGTCAGTGTGGATCAACCATTATCAACTAAAAGTGTTTACTTTTCAATGTTCCAAACAAACCTTTCATACAACATGTTTTTGTAGGGAGGACCTTCTACAACCTACAAGAATAAAGCTTTTGTGGCAGGATATTACAAACGTTTTAAATGGTAGTGTACATCAATGGACATTGTATGTACATTTCCTACTCCTATTGTGACAGTATATTTAGTAAATGTATTGCATTTAAACACATTAACATTTACTGTAAGGATTTCATATCCAATATATCCATCTGTAATAATCAGAAAACTTTATGTTGGGTTTTGTTGTTCAATTTTAAATGAAATCAAATAATTTAAATTAAGAATGAAAGATTAAATAAAATACAAATATTTAAAGAATATGAGTTGGATACACATTTCCAATAAAAGATCAAACAAATAAATAAAAAATATTTATACAAACATAAAAAGTTAGGGTAAAAATGTGCATTTAAAATCAATCTCAATCTCAATCTTTATTTATTTATATAGCACATTTAAAACAACCTTCAGTTGACCAAAGTGCTGTACAGGCAATAAATATTAAATAACACAATGGGAGTACAATAATAAAACAATAATTAAAAACATGATAAAAAGCACAATAACTAGAAAAATATTTAAAAAAAAACACATACAAATGTAAAAATGTAATGTTCAATTAGTATTAAAAGCCAGTGCAAAGAGGTGGGTTTTTAGCTGAGATTTAAAAAGTTCAATTGACTCCGCAGTCCGGATCTGTTTGATCCGAATGTTTTTTTTATTATTGCAGTTTTCTGTGTTCTTTTTTTTCCTCTGAAATATTCATTTCAGAGCCTCACAGTGAAGTAGAGCAGCAGTGAGGCAGTTTCGTTTCTTCAAAAGTTGTGTGGAAAAACATTTTTTAAAAAGCCGTAGAATTGATTGAATTCCATTACACCATGTTATTATTTTCACCCTGCTTATATATTCCCCCCCCTCAAACCCAGCAGGTATTCTCTTTGTGAAGACTTATAACGCTCTCTGTTGTTTGGAGCTGGAGGATAATAGTTCTATTGCCCACAACACACAGCACGACCTGCTGCCGACGCTCTGTAGATTTCCCCCTGAACACCTTTATGTTGTTCACTGCTATGCTCTTACTGTTAAATTCCTGTTATTGTGACTTAACAGCAGTTCTCAGAAAAAGAAAGACATTTTTTACATCAACACAGAAGAGCAATTTGACCAAAGAAAACTCCAATTCAGCTGTGGTTGGTCAGCTTCGTGGCCACGGCAACAGATGGAGCTCAGCGGGGTGCGAAAGATTTTCTGCTCCACAAAAAAAATCCACCATATTTCCTCCGTCTAAAATTGGCTGCTTGATTTTATTTGTACCAGCCCAGAATATTTCTTTTATTAGCCAGGGAACTGAGAAGAAGATGCTTTTGATTTTTAGAAAAAGTTAGAATTCTTTGTGTGTCCCCAGGAGGATATGAACCTGTTTTCCCTTTCAATGACGGTCAGTCTTTAGGTTTTAAATCTGGGGCTTTATCTCAGAAAACACAGGGATGTGATTTAGAGCCTTGTGATTGGACGTTATCACCTTTAGCAGGCAGCTAGATACGGATCTCTCTGTTCTTTAAGCTATCTCTTTCTGCACGCTTTTCAGGGGTGATTTTGCTTCTGCTGGATCGTCTGAGGAAGCTGAGATGGGAGCAGATGTGGAGGCTGACTGCAGAGAGGGAACTAATGAGCATGCTGTCCACCTCCCTGGCAGACCAGGTAACACACACAGACACATACCTTTAGATATAACTCAAAATGAACCGTTTCACATGGACAAATCACAAAAACATCTGTACTGGTTGTGGGAGTTTGACCAAACATTCAAAGGGGATATATTATATAGTTATATATATATATATATATATATATATATATATATATATATATATATATCACTTTGGGATTTTAGCCTTTGCAGACCATTTACATGCACTAAAACCTTTTATAATACACTTCAGGAAAAGATAAACCCCAAAAAGCATTATACGGCCTCTTTAAGACCGTGCCCTTTTGGGTTTTTTTGCTACTGCTACCTGAACATGAAGTTAAACTGAGCTGCAGTAAAGTGCTCAAATGCTTCAAATGAAGTACTTCTTACAACTTGTTATCCAGCTGCGTCTAAAGGTCAAACCACTTCTGCCTGTTGTGTATGGCAGCACTGAAAAACATGGTGTAAAACATGCTGTCAGCCTCCTCCGGGCTGCACCACACATCAAACAAAAGGGCATAAAAGGGTAAACATTTAAACACACTCACACATTTTCCAGCATGTTACACTCACTTGTCCACTGGAAAACTGACGAAGGGAATTAGTTTGAAGAATGAAAAAAATGTAAAAGTCAAAGCCCTTAATACTTTCTAACCTCCCCACACTTGACTAATCTTTCTTGTAAAAGTGGGAGTGATTGTTTGGTTTTGGAAAGTCACAAGAATGGTCAAAATGCAGCCCCCAATTTCCTTTCTGGCTCAAAGGTGGGCGGGGCATGAGGTTTCAGAAGATATCCAATGATCTGACAAGCATTTTGAAGCAGACTGACTCCTTATAGAAGCCCTGTTATGCTTTTAGGGGTTTTCCCTTTCCTGTAGTGTGTTTATATATTTTTGTGTGCATGTAAATGGTCTGCAAAGGCTAAAATCCCAAAGTTCCCCCTGTCTCATTTCAGACAGAGACCTTTTTGAACATTAAAGCATGGAAACATGTCACAGGAGAGACACTAAATACAGATATGAACCTGAACATTAGCATAATATGGCCCCTTTAAAGTACACTTTATCCATTCCAGTTGAGTGTACCTGAAGGTCATAAATATATTGATCTTAAACTATGCAGAATTCTATGTGTAACAAGTATTAAGGCAAGACACTGAGACCTTGGTGAAGGGTCTCTTCATTATCTGGGAGCTATTCAGAGCTCATCTAGATGAGAGGTGCGTTTATGAGATTTTAATTAAAACTTCATTAGGATAGTCCCGCAGGGTATGCAGTTTGGAAAATGAACAGGGTTTTTGCAATAGCTTGAGCAATCCATCTGCATTTTGCTGTATGAGCTCCTCCAATGGACTGGCAGCCATCTTTATCACAGCATTCAGAGAGTTTTATGTCTGTAATTACCAAGCTGGAATCTGTCACTCAGACTTTAGTCTTGTGAATCTGAATGTCCCGAAGTCAAAAAAGTCTTAACTAAATGTAACAAAGGACTAAAGGTAAGCTCAAAGCAATTTGAAGCATTCAGCTTTACGATGACACAGGCTTTAAGGAATTGAAGCCTGAACATCTGGAACATCTGGGGACGTACAAAACCCTTACTAAGGAGAAGAGTCAGGAAGAAACCGTCTCTATCATAACTAAATGATTGATGATCTGTTATCTTTGGAAACTGTGTGCGCTTATATTTGGACCGTTCATAAATAGGTGGAAAAAATCAAGAGCATAATAAAATATTAGATTTTTATAGAAAAGTATAATAAATTATGAAAGACATGTTCAGATATTTTCTATATGTATGCATAAATATATATATATACCAGAATACTTAATGATAATTTGTCACGGAGGAAATTGGGTTTCGTGACATTTGCTCCATTTTAATATTAATTTAATAAAAGATAAATAAATAAAAAATAATTTATATGTTTATATTCGTGCAAATAATAAAAATATGTACATAAACAAAGGAAGTAAAAGTGTGAAAGATCAAATAAAAATAGATATATAAACATTAGATATTTACAGTGGTATATTTGTACTAATAACTTACTAATACTGGATTGCATTGTTTGCAAGTGTTTGGCTGAAGTAAAAAAAAGACATGTATATATGTATATATATATATATATACTGTATACATACTGTATGATAATTTAAGAAAGTGTGCATGTTTGTTGTTTTACTATGTTTTCTAAATTGGTCTTTAGTTTAAAATCCTTGTGTGGTCATTGAAAAAGCGATCGAACTGTGATGTGCAGGCCTGTAGATGATGAAACATAAGGGAAAGCATACGGCTCAGTGTGTGTGTGTGTGTGTGTCCGCAGGACATCTTCAACGCTGTGATCAAACAGAACCCGTTCCTGGTGCACCAGCTGCCCTGCTTCTGGAACGTCCAGCTGTCCGACCACACCCGCTCCGAGAAGTGCTACAAAGACGTGTCGGACCTCAAGGTGAGCCCCTGCTGTCCCCAATATGCTCACACTGTCACACACACACACACACACACACACACACACACACACACACACAATACCTGACCTACATTATTCAGGAGCCCCAGCCAGCCACACACTGCGGACCGCACACTGAGAGGCAGAGTAAAAGCATTATGGATTATGTTAACCTTGTAAAACGTCATGTCTTTTCACGTTCTAGGAGATGGGTAAAAAGCCTGTTATTCCCTGTTGATGCAGCATGTTGGATGCATGTGTGACAGACTGTTTCAAAGATATATTTGATTATGCTTAATGGCTCAATCTCAGCAGTTTTCCCCCACATTTTGATTGGCCTCCATTACACAGCAAAGATACAACGGCAATGATGTGGGTCACAATGCCTGCCGATGTTTTATTGGCTCCGTCAGTGTCACAGCTCGTTTAATATCATTGCTCAAGCATACATTAGCCTTCCTTTCAAATGAGTCGATCGCCAAATATTGGATGAGTGAGCCCTGATGTTGTCAAATTCACCGAGCAGAATTGACACACAGTTAGAGCAAGGGAACAGCCAAATTAATAAATGACAATGTTATGTTACGTCAAATACCGATAACAAAAACTTTAAAGGAATACATACTCTTACTTCACTCGGTGGAAACTGATTTGATGGGATGCAACTGTTTTACTGGTTGGTGCTTTACAATAAAATGACAAAGAAAAAAAGGACCCAGAAAACCTTTTTCACTGCTTTTCCGTCTGTGTTTCTTCTGCCCAGGTGATCCACTGGAATTCCCCCAAAAAGCTGCGAGTAAAGAACAAGCACGTGGAGTTTTTCCGGAATCTCTACCTCACCTTTCTGGAGTACGATGGCAACCTGCTGCGGCGGGAGCTGTTCGGCTGTCCCAGTGAAACAGACCACAACAGCGAGAACGTAGGTGCAACTGCTTCTGTGTTTCTGGGTAAAGCCTGATACAAAGATATGAAGTCGGGGTGGGGGGGGGGGGGGAACTAGCAGACAGTGATGTAAGGGTTAGTGTCACACTTGAGTAGAAGAAGAACTATAATGGACTTTTCATTATGGAGAACTTTCTAACTAATGTTTGGGTTGTTAAATGTCAGTTCTTCTTCTTCCTGACTTGATTTCATACTTTCTAATTAGTTAGATATTCCTTTGATCATTCTTTGTTAGGTCCTGTGTTGCATTAAATAAAACATGTCCTTCACAATGGAACAAAAAGTGGAGGAGGTGGACTTGATGTGATTCACAGAGATTAAGATCATATTTAATGAAACACACTGCAATGAAACTCTTTAATTAACTTCTCATTTGAACCACTTTGTTTCATGACAAATGAAAGGCCCCTCTAATTTGTGTTCTCTCCTACAGACCCCCTAACCTTCCTCTAGTTTTTTGGAGTATTTCTCTGATCTGTTAACTTTTCTTACACCTTGCTTTGATAGAAACTTGGTTTTCGGGTGATTTTAACATAAATGTAAGAATCCCCTTTGGTCTCTTTTTTAATACGGATTTCAAAGACCTGATGAGATGTATAAATCTTACTGAGTTAGATGAGGGTCCTGCTCACTTAAAGAGACACACCTGAAAGTCTTAGGCGCCGTTTACACGAGGAGAAAACTGCTTGTATCTGCATAGTTTTGCGTGCGTATAGCCCTATTATTTACACGAGGCCGATAGAAACGGACCCCACAAACGATAACGGGTCCCAAGGTGGATAGATTTGCAAACGAAACGCTCTGGGGGGTCAACCGAGTCCGTGTAATCACCTCTATACGAATATTTCCTGAAAAAATAACGATAGCCCCACCTCTCCTGCTCACTGCTGTAGCATGGCCAGTAGCCATCTGTAACGATCAACTATCAAAAATAGCTGTGTTAATTAAACGCACAAGGGGTTCTTGAATGAAATAATATTATAAAAGGCAAACCAGAATTGTTAACGCCCAATATACTCCTTAAACAAAATAAACAGAGTCAGATTTCATGCATTGATCCATTATATTGACAATTTTCCAGCCAAACAACACAAACAAAATTAAACAGTCCGCTCTGCGATACACCAAACTTGTCTTTACTGCCTAATCCAGGCCATTATTGTTCATTGCTCCTGCGCCCGTCGGCGGCAAAAAGAGAAATGTTTGTAGGCAGAGGACCGGCGTGTCCCAGAGAAGCGATCTCACCCTTTCAGTTAACTTCCCCGTTGCATTTATCCATATGCTGAGGAAATGACTATATCCCGCTGAATACCAGCAATCGCCACACACACTTCCTCCTGTCAGTAGCTACTGCTAGTGCTACTGCTACTGACCATGCTACAGATATTAGTGCAAAATCTACAGCTCCTCTACCACAACCATCAGCAACAAGTGGACATGGAGAATTACATGAACTACATGTTGCTAAATACACCGCGGGGCATAAAAAGAAGGGTAGCCATGGCAACATTGCTCCGGGGCTGCTCGGGCTGCTCTTCTTCGTTGCTTTTGGTGTATTTTGGCGGAAGTTACAGCGCCACTTACAGTCCCGGCATATGTACTACAGCGTTTCCAGCGGTCTCGTTTGAACAGACACGTTAAATGAAACGAATGCATGTGAACGGAAGACTTTTTTGAATACGCATACTGTGCATAAACGCAAACGGTCCCGTGTGAAGGAGGCCTTAATCTCTCTGAAGCTAGCTTCTGTGTTTCTGTCTACAAAGCTTATATTTTCAAGGCCCTCCTTCCACCTCCTTCTCTCAGAGTGTATGATTCTTGGGTATCAAGTGATTGGTCTACCTGCCTATTGATCTACCAAACGGTCCATTGAATTACCTGTCCTCCTGGTGAAGTCTGGCTGTTGTTCTTTCGGCTCCTCAGTGGTGGTGCTGTAAGAACAGCTGGCTCTGTGGAGTGCTATAGAGTGTCAGTCAGAGCGGGTGTGGACCGAACAGATGGTGTTACCGTAACACATACTCAACACTGACATTCCATCTGGTGTTGGGTTACTTTAAACATATCTACATGAGGGATGATGTTGACATACAATCCTTTATATAACGGCTCCTCCGGTCCCTTCACTAACAACCAGGCTGCCCAAATCGGCCTTCACACACTGGTGTTTGCCTACCGATCTTCTTGCATTCAAGACAAACCATGCACGCAAGCATTTGGAATTCGCTCTGCATCGGCCAATCAGCTCGTTCTAACTCACTGTGAGTGGGACCCAGGTTCCCCTCAACAAGAACACAGCTGTTTTCTATGGAACGGTGGAACGAGCTTAAAACGGCTATAAGTCTACACGTGTTCCCTCACTTAGACCTAACACAAAAAACATTCAACTAATAACATTTGAAAAGCTAATTTGAAACAAAAGCAGCTGCCCTTACAAAGGTTTTGGCTTTTTTGAAGCAGATGTATTTCTGAGTGTGTATCTTCACAGTTTATGGATAAAAGAGTCCGTTAAATGAAATGTAGTGTAATACCTGATAGTAACAAAATGGATATCTTTAAATAGAGAATTAAGAAAAGTGTCTTCATTTATAAACCAAATGTAGTCAAATCAGATCAGAATCAGATGAGATTATATGACCTTTATTCGTCCCACATAGGGGAAATGTACATTGTTACAAGATGGAGACAAACAAATAAAACAGTATTAGAAAGGGCATGCACATAATATTTACACGGACACGTTGTCCAGCAGGGAGGACAGCTTGGTTCCAAGTCAAGAATACAATGATACACAAAAACATGGAACAGAACCATTCAGAACAGGTTCCAACACTTAGACTGTAGACTTGCTTGGACCACATGTTGTAAACCTGGTTCATGTGGAGCTCACTGAGATCATGCTACCCAGCATACTGTCAGGACTCTGTCTTATCGTTCAGACTGTTATTCCACAGCGTGTTAGCTTCTAACCTGCTGAAGGTCAGAAGTGTTTCCAGGACCAGCCTCTATGGGACCAGCCCTAGAATAATTCAAGTGTCAGCTCTGCGGTCACTTAATCAAATTATAATTTCCCATCAGGGTATGCAAGAAAAAAAAATTCCCCAACCCACACTTCTAATGTGTCCTTAACTCAGGAAATACTTTGTTCGCTCCATTTTTCAGACTTTGATCAGTGATTTAAAGCCCATTAAAGTGATGATTAGACTAATGAAGTCACTGAGGGGTTGGCTCCAGCAGCACACTGCAGCCCGGGCTCCTTCAGGGCCACAGCGTCACTCCAGTCCAATAATAACACCCTTCAAAGCAGGGCCACACAGGAAGTGGCAGCCCATTAGCACCCACTCTGCGTTTGTTTGTTTGGACTTCCATCTCCACTTAAATTATTGAGAAAGTTACCAACACCTGAATGCTGACATCCATTCATACTTTGGTTGACATGTTGCCTCATCAACAATTGGACAGTATTCACACAGAAGCAGAAGGCTCCTGCCAATCCTCTATGTCCATTTGACCAAAGAAAACAAACAAGAGCTAATCAGGGATACATTATTGGAACTGCATTTATTTGTACTGAATTGTAACAGCTTGTTGCTAAATGGATTTATGTGGGATTAGAGGTCTGAGTCTGGACAGACTGGGACACAGAACAGCCCTCAAAATGTAATCCTAAAGCTCCAGCCTAACCCCCCCCCAAAGGTTCAGTACACATGCAGACATGGACACACACTGAAGTTCTACTAGTGGCAAATAGTTGTTTATTCAAATGCCTAAGTACGATGCAGGTTTATATTTACCTGATAAAGCCCTCTGGTGGCATTATGACTCAGGGGCAAAGGCTGGACTAATATGATGTTGTTATGAACACCTTGGAGGGGGGTGTGGGCGTGATGGATGGGTTTAGCAAGCATGTGACACAGGAGCCCACGCTCTGTTTGCTGTTACCCACCAACAGTCATTTTGCTTTTAGTTTGTAACCATGACAACAAAGGTTCTCAAACCTTAAAAGGTGAGACCAAAACTTGACCTTGGAAACAGAATTTGATGAGATAAACTCGCTTTAATGTCCTTTAGGTAGCTTTTTCTGGAGCTCTTGATTATATCGCATGATATCCATTGCAATGTTTGAGATGGAACTCTTGTTGTCGTGTTAATAATATCCTACTTTTACATTTTGTTAGCTGTAATTTGGCCCTTCATATTGTTTATTTGACAGATTTTTTTCATGGTCCACTTGTTTATATTTGAAAATGTTTAGTTCTGTTTTATTTTCTATTTTGTGTATTATATATTTGTTTATTTTTCTACCCTTATTATTTTTCAAATGATGTGCAAGGCCTTGTTTTAACATGCTGCTGTGACGAAAAAAAAATCCCATTTGGGATTAATAAAGAATATCTTATCTTCATTGTTCTGAACCCTAACCCTGATAAAGTTTAGTAAGACTGTTTGTCAAGTGATTTACAATCTGTCTGACCTCAACCTATAGAATCACTGTGGTACGATGATACCGTTACTTAGGATCACCTTTAGTAGTAAACCTTCTTTCCCTAAAGTGACCCTCTCCTCCCTCCCTGCAGCTTCAGAAGACTCTGTCAGAGCTGGACGAAGACGACCCTTGCTACGAGTTTCGTCGAGAGCGATTCACCGTCCACCGAACGCACCTCTACTTCCTCCACTACGAGCACGAGCCCAGCCCCGACAACACCGACGTCACTCTGGTCGCCCAGCTCTCGATGGACAGGTACTTTTGGTAACACTGCACTGAACTACTTTGTTTTTTTAATCGAGAGAAAACATTCAAATGGAAATGAACTGCTAAAAAGTATTTAGGATACCTCTACTTATTGGTGTAGTGATATTGATACCCTCTCTGTGACCCGCCCCCTGCAGGTTGCAGATGCTGGAGGCCATCTGTAAGCACTGGGAGGGGCCTATCAGCCTGGCCCTCTACCTGTCGGACGCTGAGGCCCAGCAGTTCCTGCGCTACGCTCAGGGCTCCGAGGTGCTGATGAGCCGCGGGAACGTGGGGTACCACATCGTCTACAAGGAGGGACAGTTCTACCCGGTCAACCTGCTGCGTAACGTGGCCATGCGGCATGTCAATACGCCTTACATGTTCCTGTCAGACATCGACTTCCTGCCCATGTACGGCCTGTACGAGTACCTCAGGTAAGAGGAGCAAAACTGAAACCGCTAGTGACCCTTACACTTGGCTTGATGTTTCTTCAGAGCAAGAAACGCAATTTTTATCCCATTTTGTTAGATGTTGCAAATGTATGTAATCCTATTTCCTCTCTTTGTATTTAAAGGAAGTCAGTAGTGCAGCTGGACATGGCCAACGCCAAGAAAGCTCTGGTGGTTCCCGCCTTTGAGACGCTGCGATATCGTCTGTCTTACCCAAAGTCCAAGGCTGAGCTGCTCTCTCAGCTGGACATGGGCACTCTCTTCACCTTCAGGTAAACAGCTCGTACTCATTTATTTTTTGGTGATATAAAACATTTAAAAAAGTTCAATGAACATGCACTGCGTGTTCGTCAATAGTCACTCTATTGAACGCTGTTGGAATATAGCGCTCGCAAAATACATTTTCTTTAACTCCTAGCATTAGCTTTAGCCTAGCACTGGTGACTAACAGGCTATTACGTCACATCATAATTATCTTTTAAATCGTCCTACTCACTGATCAGCAAGAGGCACTACAATTGTTATCCTACATATAGATAGTATAGTTTTTCTTTGTTCATTCATATAGGAGTAGAACGCTCTGTTTCTCTGAACAACGAGCTAGCTTACATTTTCTTAAACTCCTAGCGTTAGCTTCAGCATACCTAATCATCTCCTACGATATCATCCCTAATGATAAGCAAAAGGCTCTACTTTTTAATATTATACATATAAAGAAAATTGAATTCAATGCGATTTAAACAAACTGGTTTGTTAACGTAGAATAATGCAGAAATAAACCGCCCTCTTTCTTCGAACAACGCTCAACGTGCATTTCGTGAAGATTGGATGAACAAATGCACCCGTAGATAATTTGCTGTGTCATTTGAGACTGAATCAGGATCTGGATATAGAACTGAGGGGGTCTGGCGAGAGAAGGGGGTCCGGCTGTCTGCAGGTTGGATTCAGAGAGGACAGGAGAACAGTGGTCAGCAGAGACATCAGTATCAATACACTCATTACCCAACACAGTCTCACGGCATTTCGTGTTATAGTCACGAAATTAATCTATTGATTCGTGTTCACCAACACGATTTCGCCATTTTCTTCGTGTCACACAGAACGATTTTAAAAGCAATGTAAATAATAACAAATTAGAAGGTAAAACAGATTTTTAAAAATACAGATTTCAGTATTCTGACACAGAACAATTTTAGAAGCAATGTATTTCTATTGGTAGTGTGTTTCGTGCCTGCACCAAATAATAACAAATTAGAAGGAAAAAAAGATGACAAAAAATACAGATCTCAGTATTCTGAGGCTCTGAGCCATTTCTTTTCCTCGCGGACGACAAAAAAACTCCGACATTATACAATTTAAAATAAAAGGGATAGGGTTAGGCTTAGGGTAAGATATTGAGTAAGAAAATGTGTTTATGAACCACACAGCTTCTGGTCTTCCAAGACCCGACCGGACAAAAAGATGTGGTGCAGGCACGAAACATACTACCAATAGAAATACATTGCTTTTAAAATCATTCTGTGTGACACGAAAAAAATGCGAAAATCGTGTTGGTGAACACGAATCAATAGATTAAATTAATTTCGTGACTATAACACGAAATGCCGTGAGACTGGGTTGCATTACCAGGGACAAAGCGCCATTTGTAACATTAAAGCCACTGGAAAGTCTCCCGGCTGGTGTTTAAATGTGAGAGGGGGAGGGGCTCCATTTTCTGCTTCGTCAGCGCTTTGCTCTAACTATACATCTCAATTAAAAAGCAGCCGTCATCATTACAGTAACAGGCACAATATGTTGGTAAGGGAAGGAAGAGGGTCATTATGTGTTCCTCCTGTGTGCAGTCCATTCAGTCACACTTACTCTGCTCCTAGAATAGTCTGTATATATATGTGTTATTATTGTATCTAGTTAGTGAAGAAAAAAGTGTCCTGATGCCACAAAGACTTTGCATTAAGTCTACAGTGTTAGGTAGACACACTGTAGAAAAACATCCAGACTTTTCAAACCTTCTATGATTGAGTTTCAATATCAAAATGCCTCCTAATTTATTAGTAACTATCTATCTATTTATTTGATAGTTTACTGTTTTTATTTATTGAAATACACAAACCTAACAGATAACAGATGAGCAAGAAGAGGCAGAAAACCCACTTGCCTCCACCTAAATAATGGTAAAATGCACAACTTTATTGAAAACACAAGATCAATAGATTCAATAGTGACATCAAAGTATTAAAACATATAATAAAAAGAGACAAAAACAACTATACATCTTACTTCTTCTCAGAAAGCATATTTGACACTCCCTCCAACTTAGTTTTTCTTTCCTCCTCCTCCTCCTCCAGGTACCATGTGTGGACTAAAGGCCACGCACCAACCAACTTTGCCAAATGGCGCACAGCCACCACGCCCTACAGGGTGCAGTGGGAGGCGGACTTCGAGCCGTACGTCATGGTGAGGAGGGACAGCCCGGAGTACGACCGCCGCTTCGTCGGCTTCGGCTGGAACAAGGTGGCTCACATCATGGAGCTGGACGCACAGGTACGAGACCCAACGCTCACTTTCTGTCTGATTAACGTCTCAGATTGTCTCAATGCTTTATGGTGTCTGCGATTAATTAAAGTATTAGTTAAAATATCTTAAAATAAGAAATCAGTTCTGTGGTTCATACATGGATATCGTCGTACCATTCCTCACGCCCGCATCATTTACCGTGAAACCGACCGTGAGCGACAGATGTGAATCATGTAAGTTATGGTTTACTTTCAACACTATGTTAAACCAAAAGGTGAACCACTAAGAAAGCCAACATTTCACGGTGTTGGGTGGTGTTTAGTTTTAATTTTCCTTTTTCTAATTGGAATTTAAACCTTGGTAATCAAGAAAAAAGTCATTTAATTTATCCACATTTATATGGCAACATGATTAGAACACACAGGGCAAAATATTTTGATCTGCTCCTGTAGTCCATCTACGGAAAAATGTAGTTTTTCCACGGCGGACGCACATCATGGCGCATATAATGACAACTCCAAGTGTCTTTTCCTAAAGAAAGATGAATTCTCCTTCACATCTTCCCTTAACCCCATGACGTCCTCACTGAGGTTAAGGACAAATGGTTAGAAAAAGACATGATTTTTTTTTTTGACAACATTTCACATTTGTAGCGATCAGCCGCCCACACTGAAACTCCTCTTCCTCCTCTCTTCACAGGAGTATGAGTTTGTGGTTCTGCCCAACGCCTACATGATCCACATGCCTCACGCGCCCAGCTTCGACATCACCAAGTTCCGCTCCAACAAGCAGTACCGGGTCTGCCTGAAGACCCTGAAGGAGGAGTTCCAGCAGAACATGTCGCGGCGCTACGGCTTCGCTGCCCTCAAATACATGACGGCTGAGAACAACAGCTAGCCACCACTGCAGACCCTCACCCCCCCGGGCCTGAACTATTGACACATGGGCCGGGGAGTGGGGGGGGGGGGGCAGGGGGTGGGCACAGGAAACAGACAGGGTTACTTTGAGACTTCCCTCAGACTTTGTTCGAATGTTTGACCCTCAGTGTGGGACTGCATGGGTCTTTATGTTCTCTCTTTGTCCTGTGGATGGAAGGAGGGGATTCACTTCTGCCAGGATGGAGATGACGGGGGTCCGACTGTGTGAGCCATGGCCCTTAAATCTGACAGACAGGAACATTCGATGCCTTGTCATATTTGTAAGGCCAGTGACAGAGTTGTTGGCTGTGTGTAACATTATGTAAGCGTGTGTGCAAATGTGTGAGTGCGTGTACATGCAGGTAGACGTTTCTGCAGGACAGTGCTTAGCGAAAAGCTTAAGGAGAGATGATGAAGTGAAGCATTGTGGGCTTACAATCTGTGCGCACGCCTTCCAAGTGCCAACGAAAAGCAGCAGCAGCTGTCTGACTGACAGCAAACCCCCGACTCAAATGCAAATCGTCACCAGGCGGCGAGATAAGACAAAGCGTTTCCGTGTCCACATAGATTTTGAAAATCTCATTGTGACGAGTGACACACACTCCGATATCGAGGCGAGCAGCCAGCCGCTGCTTAATTTGTTTCCTAGCTGATGCATATCAGAATAAATCCTTCTCCTCGTATGACAAGGGAAGTTAAGTGCAGAGCTGGAGGTTGATATTCAGGGTGTCTCCACATCAGCGAGCTGCTACAGAATGTTTCCCCGTGTTCATTTCCGATACACAATCTGACAGCAGCCGGTCGGCGTGGGTTTCTTTTTTATTTGTGGATTTTAAATGGATGTCGGTGCGGTCTGCACAAACACCTGCTGGAAGGCCTGTCAGTTTGTGACTCCCCAACACACACAGTATTCATTTTTAACTTTTCTTTCCAACCATCAGTGTTATTTATCAGTGTGTTTACAGTCCTGACGGGTGGAGCAGGAGGCGTTATTGTCTTCTGATCTGAAAGAAAGTTTGAAAAAAAGCTATTTTTCTCTCACTCTCACTCTTTCTATCTCACTCTGGCCTCTAGTTTGACGACATTATCGTGGCGCCCAGTAACGCTGCAGTGGTGTGTGTTCTCATGTTTCGTTGTCACACCATCAGGCTAGATGTGGTGATCCTGATTTGTTGTGGATATTCTGTTCAGCTGATACAACCAAGAAAAGCATATCTCTCCCAGATAATGAAGACAGACATTCACTGTAGCATTATACTCATTTTATATGATAAACATATCATAACACTGGTCTTGGGTACATGCATTAAGATGCATGTTACTATATGATAAGGTCAATTGAAACTAAAGTTTGAATGGACTACAGATAATCGAGAAATACGACCTCAAAGAATGTAAAGTAGGTTAATATCAGTGATATTAAATATAATGATATGGAGGTTAAAAAAGGATTGAAAATCACAAAATGGTTGCAATATGTCCCGGTTTTCCAAGATGCATTCAAATCAGAACTGTGTTTACTCCAATCCACAGGGTGGTGCTAATCAGACCCGGCGCCAGAACACATCTACAGAGAGGGCATCTGATTTTCATGGCAGGGCACACAAAACCGCGGCCAGTGTCGACGCCAGAGATTTTCTTTTGGGGGTGCTGTGGGGTAGCTTGACGTTTCATAGAGGGTGCTCAAACATTTAGGGTTTCCCATTAATGTCCCGGGTGCTACAGTGGAATGTTCTTCTGCAACACTCCCCACATGCACATACACAGTACACCCGCGACTGTTACAATGAAGGCTCGATAATCAGCTCACGGCATATAGGTGTAAGCAGGGGTAAAGTGCTATTTCTTTTAAGTGGGGGGCGTACCTAACCTCCTCTAGGGGGGTCCTGGCCCTCCCACGGTGCCGGGTCTGGTGTTAATACACATGAAGCTCTATTGAAACACCAGAAGAAGAAGAGAAACGTCTGAAGTTTAGTTACACCAAACATATTAGTCATTATTAAACACTAACTAACCAACGTCAACGAAGAGTTGCATTGTATACCCTGTACGGGCTCTCTCACACTTTACCACACAGATCATTTTTTGGTTAAACTGATCAGGGATCAGATAACCACTGCAACAGGTCACTCTCTATAACCATGTGTGTAGACATCGATGGAGCTGGTTCCTTCCTTTCACTTTCATGTGCTTGGAGGAAAACTGATCATTTAAATGTAACCTCAGCTGCCATTCTCACTGAGAGGATTACAAATAAGTAATTCATGTAGACTGATAGTAGAGTATTTACACCTTTTCAAAAAAGGACTAGTATGCGTCTCAAAAAGGTGATTTCCATTCACTTCAGTCACGCATCTCCTGCCACCATCTCAGGCTCGATACATACATTTAATACAAGAAAGAAATCACACAGATGATGTAATACAAAGGAACTATGAGGATTACCCTGTGGCTTTTAACGATTGTTTTGTCAAAGTGCTATTTCCAAGGTCTAAAATAAGCTCTTAGTCTCAGCAGGAGCTCGCATGTCAACACAATGTGTGTTGTGATGGAAAAAGTGGACTTTGAGTTGGAATTGAATTTTCTATTTGATTACAGGTTAAGGCAATTGGTTGTTCATTCCAGCTGCTGGGAAATTGTAGTACGTTTAATACAATACTTGAGAAACACACATATTTGTCGGAGACATTTCCTTATTTTTAAGATTGTACCATCGTTAAACTAGAGGCCTGTTTTTCTCTCTCCGTCTCTCTCTCTGTGTGTGTGTGTGTGTGTGTGTGTGTGTGTGTGTGTGTGTGTGTGTGTGTGTGTGTGTGTGTGTGTGTGTGTGTGTGTGTGTGTGTGTGTGTGTGTGTGTGTGTGTGTGTGTGTGTGTGTGTGTGTGTGTGTGTGTGTGTGGCTCTGCAGGGCTGGGAGGAGCTGCATTGTTTAAAGTAGGACAGTGCTGACTGATGCTGCTACCTGAATAAAAAGCAAAGAGTCAAACGCTGCTGTTACCGTGTTTCATCATTTCCCTCTTCAAAAGTGTTGTTTTAGCTTTGTGAACCCAAAGTAAACAGGAACACTCACTGTCACACACAGAGTAGACAGTGTGTGTCTATACTTTCAGGGACACACAACAGTTTACCACCTTTCTGAGATAAAGGGCCACTCTTTTTTCATGTGTCAGTGTCAGTTTACTCAACAAAGAGCCAATAAAAACCGTTTTTGTGTCTCTGGAGAAGCTTTGTCAAGTCAGGCAATGAGCTGTAAGAACGTTTAGGGTCCCTATTAGCATGTTAGCATAGTAGCACGCGACTACCAAAAATGAGTAGCATGTAGATGAGCAAAGCTACAAAAAAAAAAAAGACATAAGGATCCCAGTTCTATACACTTAGGTCCTATTTTCACAAATGAGCTACGACCCTGAAATTGTCTAGATATTTCCTGGTAGAGCTGACTGTGAGAACGATAATTGTAAACAGAGCAAACCCCCCCCCAAAGTTTAATGCAAGAAAATGCGTATATTTACAGGGGGATAGAAACGCCACCAATACATATTGAGGAAACATTTTCCCATAAAAGGCCTTGGGATGAATATATCCCAATCATACATTTGGACAGATCCTTTTTAATGTGTATAATTTAATTAGCACCTCTAGCAATGAATATGTAAATGAAGCCATATAGAACCCTTTGAGAGGTTAATTTATCCTTATGATCATACATTTGTATTTTATGTAACCCTAACCGAAATATCCCACCACAACAAACTAGATTTAGATTTATGGACAAAAGCATCTGCCAAATAAATAAAAGTAATTATATAAAAGTGATTTCTGTTGTAGGAAAAGAGACTTTAAAAGTAAACTATACAACTAGAAGTGAACATTTGTACTACTACTACTGAGTATTTTCTCAGTTCATACAGTTTAATCTTTAGCCTGTGGTCCTGCTGTTGGGTTGTTTGACGCTGAGGGGACGGTGGGCTGACCTCCCTGCAGATGAAATGAGAGCAGGAGAGTGGAGCACCCAGTTTATCGTCTCCCTGGAGTCTGCCACCCTTAACTTCTCTTCTCGTCTCACGACACCATTTCTCTTATCGCTCAGGCTATTAAAAGTTTTAGTGGAGCTGCTCATTAATTCAATTTAAAATGTAATGCATGAATTTCAGCTGACTTTTTAGACCGTAAATTCAGAGGATTGGATGAAGTTAGCCTTGCAGTGCAGGGCAGGGTGTACCGTGGCCCTGAAGTGCAGAACACAACGGAATAACAGAAAAGACAACAAAAGAGGAACAACTTCTTTCAAGGTTTGGCGAATTGCTATTGGGTTTTTATAAATGGCTGTTCTGTCCTCTGTTTTGTTGCTTTTATGCCACAAAGGGGGGCTTTTGAGGGTGTAGCTTCACCTCCAGCGGTGTTTGTTAAGCAGAACAACATCAAAGTTAGCTTGCCCTTTCAAAAATAAAACCTACATATAAGGTCATATCTCTGGCACAAGCCTTAAGGAAGCCACGACAGTCCCAGCACCTGATGTGTGTTAACCAGGAATTAGGAAATAGTTCCATGATGTCTTTTTATACTAAATAGTAACATAAGCACGCTATCACAGTGGCAATGTTCTGAAGAAATTAAAGTTTTGTCCTGATGATTGGTGCTAGATGAAATGTCAGAGTATCACTCATTTTATTACATTTTTATCCTGAGGAATCCATCAATGTCCAAACCAAATGTTATGGCAATCGATATAAGTGTTGTTTAGTCTCTTTAGGACTCACCAATCGGCCAAAAGCAAAGCTGCTGGCATGGTCAAAAAGTTATTGTAAATTACACTCCTTATCCTTTGAAGGACTATAATTCAAATATAGTTTTTTTTTGCCAAAAGAGGAAGACATACAGGCAGTTACAGGGCCACTCGATATCTGTGAGTCCATTTAGAAAGGAGACATGAAAAGAAGTGAGAGAATTAAGTTTCCACGCAGTTTTTACGACATTTACTTTTCTTTTAAAAAGGAGGCTTGTAACACTATAAAACCCATCATTCCAAAATGGTAAACTGATCATTAATAAACTTGTGTTAATAGTAAATCAATACTGCATTTGATGCTATATTGTGTGCAACTAAAATATATGTTGATGGTTTGCAAACCTTTTAGATAATATAACATTTATAAACATTACATAGACCAACTATCAACCATTAACAAATTATTAACTATGTGTTTATAGATGCTTATAATAGCCAACCAAATAATGTTTGTAGAACGTTTACAAACTAACCACTATTAACAAAGTGTCCATCCATTTTATCGTCTGGTTCTCTTAAATTTGGTCTTATGGTGGATCATGGTTCTATGCTGACACCTAGTGGTCATATTTTTTGGCCTCTGTATCCTTTCAGAAGGTTTTAAGTTGATCTCACAGTACAACAATATTTAAGAATAAACCACCTTAATAAATGCTTATTCCATATGTCTATTAGTTCAAACTGTGTTGTATAAACTTTTGAGACAGTGGTAAAAAGCACATCATGGTGTCAATGCTGCAGCAGATTCTCACTTAATGCCAAAACAACAGCCTATGTCAAAGGTTCCCACAAGTGTCCTCTCTTGTAAATTGTTGATTAACAGATTATGTGGGTCATCCTCCCTAATCCTATCCCTATAACCTGAATGTAAACCGCTTCATGAAGACCATCTTAGATGTTTTGGTTTGATATTGTATAAAATAATATTTACTCAAGGTCAAGACACTTGAACCATCGCCATCAGAGCTAGTATTACCTTAAAGGTCACCTATTGTGCAAAATCCACTTTTTTTTTTGTGTCTCCTCTGTGTAAAGAGATTCTGAAAGTTTCAGGAACAAAGATTCTCTCTCTTTTTGTCCTGATCCATTTATATAAAAACCTGTCTGAAAATCAGCTGATCAGATTTTGGCCACTTTATGATGTCATAACGATTTCTTGGCTTGTGTAACCATTAGCCAATCACCAACCAAGGTAACTTGGTGTGAAAGAGCCTATTGTGTTTTTCACCAAATATCTCTCAGAGGGGCGTGGGGAGTGGCTCCTTATTTTCATCTAAAGTAACAGACAGAGAATCAGCACTTTTCAAACAAGGCTGAAACAGAGGGGATTATGGGATGCTGCAATGATCTGTTTGGTATTTGGAGCCAAACACTTCAGAGACATGTTTTGTATATATCTGAGACCTATAATATATTGATGAAAAAGAGTATAATAGGGAACCTTTAAAGTAAAGATTGTCTGATGGATTTATTCAAACTTCTTTTTTCCCTGTGCTTTCAACCACATCTCAAGGTCTCCTTCAGGGGATGCAGGTCCAGTTTCATGGAGATTAGGTTAACATTGTGTCTGCTTCTCGCCTGATGAGTGTATGTACGACCGTGACAGAGGCAGGCGACAGCGATGGAGAGCCCCCCCCCGCCCACAGGGCCGAGCGCAGTCTCCTCACGTAGGACCTGATGGAGATTGTCTGCAGTGGGTCGATTGAGGCGATCAATCACTGTCTGCAAACCTTCCTCATGCTAGCAGCAACAAGCACACAACCATTCCTCCGACATCACTTCCCCTGGGAGAACAAGATACTCATTTCCTCCTGGAGCCAAATGGTAACAACATAGACATTCAGCTTCGACACACTCAAAAGTCACCACAACATGCCTGTTTTCAGACTTTGAGAAAATGCTTTGACATTTTTGAAATTTCTTTGCAATTGTATGAAAAGCTTTCAGAGCGGCAGTTCTCTGTTACTGTTTTCATTATGAGACCTGAGTCACAGTTTGAGGAACATTTATTCATTTCTGCCACTCGTGTAGAACTGGAGTAAGTGATGGAAATCTGAAATATTTGGACGTATGTCGCTGCCAGGAGGTAACATTACTGATATTCCTGAAATTCCCCAGAGTGCAAGGGTGTAGTTGTAACTACTTGTGATTGAAATTGGGCCTCCGCCTTCAGGGGAAATGTAGGGTTAAGAATCTTGCCCAAGGACACTTCAACATGCAGACTTAAAGGAGCTTGGGTTGAACTGCAGACTTGTTGGTAAGTGGATAATGAACTGTTTGTCTGCAGTTTTACACAGATGAAACAGAAATTGACGTTCTGGCGATGAAAAAATGAACTGTTAACAAAATAACTGGTAGTCCCTGTCAGCATAAAACACCATGCCGCAAAGTAACTGAGCTGATCGACTCCGACGAAGAGAGAAAATCCGACCAGGTAAGTGTCTTCCATTTTCCTAAATCCAGCAAGTAAGTAAGTACAAGTTTGTTGTTATGTGTCTTGTCTAGCTGACCGAAAAAGCTAACATATTTGTCTGGTCACAAAAAATGTATTTAGGCCTTCTAAGTCATGTCTGTCTTGTGTCTTAGTGGTGGGTTTCTCTGTTCTTAGATATTGAGATCTTAAAGGTCCCCTTTTCATCAATATATTATAGGTCTCAGATATATACAAAACATGTCTCTGAAGTGTTGGGCTCGAAATACCAAACATCATGCATTGTAGCATCCCATAATCCCCTCTGTTTCAGCCCTGTTTCAAAAGTGCTGATTCTCTGTCTGTTACTTTAGATGAAAATAAGGAGCCCCTCCCCACGCCCCTCTGAGAGATATTTGGTTAAAAAGAACACAATGGTGCTCTCGGAGGAGATTCAGGTGATAAGGGGGGGGGTTACCTTGGTTGGTGATTGGCTAATGGTTACACAAGCCAACAAATTGTTATGACATCATAAAGTGGCCAAAATCTGATCAGCTCATTTTCAGACAGGTTTTTATATAAATGGATCAGGACAAAA